TTCATTTAAAACGCACACATACAAACGGTGCTTTTAAAATCAACAAAGAGCAAATTATGAATGTACTTAACGAGTTGTTTCTTCGAAAAACCAAAAGATTAATAAATTGTTCGTTGCAAAGTTTAACTTTAAATGCAATTAAACCGCCTAAATTCTTATACCTGGCCAAAAATGAGAACAATTTTATGGTAACCTGAACAGTGATTTATACTCATTGCGATTTTCTAGGTGGTTAGTGAATAGTGATTGAAACTGCATAGGTTTGATGCTCTGGTTTGTACTTTTCAAGTTTGAAACTTTTCAAAAAAAATATTAAATTTTTTCCAAAAATTGAATTGTATTCATAATGGAAAGATTAGTAACAGCTCGTATTACATAATGCAATTGATCATTCTAAATTCGTTATCAAACTATGGAACTGTTCCAGACCTGCATGTCGAGCCTGAGCAGCAGCAAATTATTTTGATCTTTCGTCAAAACACCAGATAAAATGGATCGTCTGTTCGTATTTTGACGAAAGATTAAAGGAATTTGCTCGCTGCTCAGGATCGGCTCAGGCTCGACACAGGCTGCTCAGGTCTGCACGTACCATAAGAATCAATATTTAAGCACATTTTTTGGATAATTTGTGCAAGGAGCACACAAAGCGAGTCGATTAAAATTGAAAATGAATCCTGCCTACAATGCCTCGTATTCTATTTCTTTTTAGAGCTGTAGAACCTTATTTAACGCTTCTCTCGCCGTTAACTCGAATTGTTTTGTCCGGAAAAAAATATTTCCATTATACCTTATTTTGAAAATAGAAAGTATTTGTTTGACGCCTTTCTCCTGCTCTCTTGTCGGGAAAACAGCGAAATGAAAATAATTTCTACTAAAAATTTCCTCATCGTACATCTACCTTCAATATCGGTAAACTCTTCTTTCACTACTTTTTGGTGTGCAATTCGAATTGTTTTGCCTTAAAGTATCATATTGGATTAATGCTTTCGATGTTTATCGAATCAATGCGCTCTGAAAAATATTGCGGGCTCAAATCGAATGCAAGAAACTCTTCACTACTCAACCGCTCAACACTACTTCGATATATTTTCACAGATCAGTTATAGAATTACTTAAATCTAAAAAAATGTACTGTTTCCAAAGTACTCAGCAGAGCCAGTAAGAAATATAGGTGTGTGAAGCCGGGCGGGACTTAAGAAAATTCTATTTTAGGGTAGAAGTTTTGCAAAGTCATCCAAATTTGGGAGTTGAATTGCAAACTTACTCATACAAACTCAGTTGTCATATGTTTGAAAAAATCTAAAAAATTTCCAAATCT